TTTAATTGTACAGCATATTTGTTTTCTTGTAAACTTTCTGGAAAATTGGTTATATTTTATTGAATGTTGCATATCTCAGTGAATTTGTGGCATCTCTAATCTTTTTAACCAACCCGTCTCCTAAATTTTACTTAAACGTATATTGAAGTAGCTGGCAGTTAAAATTCACCAAGTGCTACTGTGTGTCTCTCGTCCTCCACGTAGCTACTATATACACAGTGAATAGTGACGACAAAGTGACAGATCCGATGACGTTACACCGATAGGCGGGACTTGGGAGTAGCGCGAGAGAGGAAAAAACACTGACATTAAAATGTGAGAAAACAAATAAGAGAACAAATTTTCACACTGATAGCAAAGATTGCTGTTATTTAAGACTAAAGAAAAAACATTGAGAGAAAATATTTTGTCATACAATAAATAAAAGATATTTTGACATTTGAAATATAATTTCCAAGGGAAAAAAGCTCTAAAAAATATATATATTTTTTTTACAATCAGAGTGGGAAAAAAATCTCTCTTAAAAAATAGACTTTTGTCTGAAAACTTAAGTCTTTGCTCTGCTAAAAAAAAATTTTTTTTTTCTAAATCGTTTTTCTAAATCTTTTTTTTATTATTATCTGGGGATTCCCTGAAATCTTCTTCATTCTAGACCTCATTAAACACACCATTAAGTTGCCATTTAAGTCTGGACATTTCATTTGTTCATATTTTTACTACAACTTGAGGACATGTCAAACTGAAGTTAAGCTGCTCTATGTGGCTATCACTTAAGTTTGCCACAACACTTCCTATTATACATTTACTTAATATTTCCCCAATAAATTAAATCATAAATAAGAAATGCTTTTTATATTCACTCAGACTTTTTTTGAAATCAGGAAATCAAAGTGAGAATGAGTGTCTGAACTATTATTTTGAAGTTAAAAATACTAATAAATGGAGATGAATCTTATCTATAAAGAGGAGACACTCATTGGCCACATACATTAAAAATATTTCTTCCTATTTTTTTGCACCCCATTGTGCTTTTTCAATGCTGTTAGATCGTTGATTTTATTTTGATTTTGTAATTGATTTTATATAAGACCAACCACATCTACCAACAGGTCTATTTTTAAAGCTGACCTTCCTTATTATTTCTTAACTCATCTCTTTCTCGTGATCCATGAAACCTATTTGATGAGTCAAGACCTAAGCGTCTCTGCTTCGAGAGTTCGAATCCCAACATTCGTCACTGGTTTCGACACAAACGGGTGTGGATGCAAGAGGAGGGATCTGGGATAGCTATGGAAACTGTGTTGGATTTGTTTTTGTTGACTTATTGTTATGGGAAAAACTGGAAATCTTCCAGATGAATCACAATCTGTCTCTTCAAACTAATTATGGATGCAACTAATAACTCACACAGCATCATCTGTGTCATACTAGTGAGTTTTAGGTGAATTAATGCTATTTGTTATTAGAATCCTGGAAACTTTTGAGCTTTCACTCCACCACCAAGAACAGGGACATAGAGGGACCTATGGATACATCTTCATGTCTGCACTTGTCCCAGCTTCTCATCTCCTCCTATGTTTATATGTTTGAAGTTAAGCCCCACCCACACCTGACATTCCTCTATAAGTAACCAGCATTTTCTTATAGAGCAGCTGCTCGACTCTTGTCCATCAGAAAACAGCTTAAAACACAAGGAAGAATCTCAAGACTTCATCTAAAGGCTTTTAAAGAAAGAGGAAAATAAGTAAGTAAATATTTTATTCAATATTAATTGATTGAGGAAACAGTTGGGTTGATTGTTTAAGGAAATAGTTGTTTTTAAAATAATTTGTATTAAATAAAACAAAAACTAGTATTTTTCTTTTGTCTTTTTGCTCTGGAAGTTCATAATCCAGGTTAGGGAATTTTTTTTTCAAATGTGCAAAAGCTAAACAAATATCTTTTTTAATTAATTAAAATAATTCCTATTGAAATCTGAATACCTCCTAGTTGAGGTCACCTATTTTTTTATGTTTGCTTACAAGAAGCTGAAGAATTAAGCAAATCTTAAAATTTTAACACTGAAATATTTTATTCAGCAACTTTTTCTGAACTCTCCAGATGTAAAAGTATTAGTTTACCAGATGTAAATAATTTCAGCTATAACAGGTGTAGCATTGCTCAAACTGAATATATAAAGTTACTTTAATGAAGCGTCTCATAATGGATGCTGTGAGGGTGCGGTTGAGCCATTCCTGGGTGGAGATGTTGGAGATCTCAGGCCTGTCTGGGCATGAGGTTGATTTGAAAATGTGGCCTGAAGCCACAGTTTCTGTAGAGACACGCACAGTTTAATCAGTGTTTGTCTGAGGGAGTGTGTCCACTGTGCTTTGAAAACACAGAGATTAACTGTAACACAGAGACAAAAAGATTTTGATTTTTTTTTCTTCTGTAAAACCTTTAGAGAAGCAAAGTCTACTTTAAAGATGCTAGAAATTTTAAATACCTTGATTAAAATATGAAGAAAACGTTCCAGAAAAGCAAATATATTTGTATTATTCATTCAACTTGCTTTAATGTTTTTTTTTATTGTAGAATGGGATCATCACCAGTTCAGATGGTATGTGTGGGCCTCGGGATCATTGGCCTGATTGGAGCCATCGTCTCTTGTGCCCTTCCTCTCTGGAAAGTGTCCGCCTTCATAGGGCAAAATATTATTGTTGCGCAGGTAACCAAATATTATTATTTAGTATTATTGTAGGGTTAGGAAATCTTGTACTTAGTCTAATGTTATAGGTAATTTCCTACAACATTTATATATGTTTTGTAAGGAAGTATATTCTCCATCTTTGTTAATTGCAAAGAAATAAATGTTGTTTATAGACCTTTTCATTTTTTTATTTAAAAATCTGATTTAGAGATAAACCTTTCCTGTTTTAGGTTTTTGGGAATAATTGTGTATGTCTTCTCATACTAAACTAAAGGCAAAATGTAATGCTATCCTTCCACAAATCTCTAATTATTGGTTAACTGGAATTTTACTGGATGAAATTTATGGACCTCATTGCTCTTAAACACTTTTTCCACAAAATTTGTCTCTATGTCAATTTAAACTTTTGTATCTGTACACTGGGGGCCAACCTCCATTGGCCTGCTCGAGCACATAATGTTCTTTCCTCGTGAAAATATATTTCAACCACACAAACCTCGGTATTTAACACCCAGGATCATGTTGTGACTTGCAACCCCATGATTTAGATTGTCATTATGTCTCATTTTACCTGACAAAAAACCCAATATATCCTTTTGTAAATATCTGTTTCTGTGTCTTTGGCTAAATAGGAGCAACAGGAGGGTCTGTGGATGCAATGTGTGACCCAGAGCACCGGACAGCAGCAGTGCAAAGTGTATGACTCCATGCTGGACTTAGAACCTGATCTGCAGGCTGCCCGAGCCATGGTCATCATCGCCTGCATGCTCGGTGGACTCAGCCTCCTCATCCTGTTCTGCGGTTCTGACTTCACCACATGTGTGGAGAACGAAGATGCCAAGCCCAAAATCTGCCTGGTGGCCGGGGTTGGCCTACTGCTGGGTGGCCTCCTGGTGATCATCCCAGTCAGCTGGTCGGCTCATACTACTATTAGCAACTTTAAAAAC